GCCACCGCACCCGGCCAGTTGAATTACTTTAACAATGTCTTCCTTATTACTCCTGTGTTTTCTTCATGATTATCCTAGCTTCCTCTCCTCCATCACTGACACTGCTTCACAGTCAGATTGAACCCTCTTCCAACAAACTGCTTTCTGCTATTGATACTCAGTGCTCAGGTTCAACTCTGCCCTGGTCTTCATTACCTAGGTGTAATACATGACCCTCATGGATGAACAGAAATGGATTCTATTCCTTGGGTCTGTGTCTCATCTTTAAAGCTAAGTTGGAAAATATATACACTTACCGTGTACCCACAAAAATTAAAAACATAATAATAATAATAAAGCTAAGTTAGAGAAGCTGGGAGGCATGTTACCCTTCCAGGATCCCTGGTGCTGTTAGTGGTCAGATCTGTTTGTAGCCTATACAAGCTATGTGAAATTGAAGGATACTGGTTTAAGGTAAGAAACATGCAAAATGTCAGAATTGGTATTACTGTCCATAAATAGCACAACTAGCCTTTATTTCTAACAGAGACTGCTGAGTTTCTCTCAGCCAGAGGTCTTAAAGTATAATGTAGTAATATTGCTGTCTGATATAAATGCCTTTAATCTCAGAAGCAGACATGAAATAACACTCCCTTAGGTTTCCACTAACATTGGCCCGTGAAACCTAGTTCTGAGGACAGGCACGGTGGCTCATGCCTGTAATCCCAGCACTTTGGGAGGCCAAGGCGAGCCGATCACCTGAGGTTAAGAGTTTGAGACCAGCCTGGCTAGTATGGTGAAACCCCGTCTCTACTAAAAATACAAAAATTAGCCGGCCATGGTGGCAGGCAATTGTAATCCCAGCTACTCAGGAGGCTGAGGCAGGAGAATCACTTGAACCCGGGAGGCGGAGGTTGCAGTGAGCTGAGATCACACCATGTGTAGGACCCGCCAGCCGCTGGGCAACAGAGCCAGACTCCATCTCAGAAAAAAATAAAAATAAAAGTAAGAAATCTAACTGGCCACATTTGCCTTACAAGAAGCTCCTACAGCTTGAGAGTATTACAAAACCTGAACTGAGTCTGAAGAGAGAAAATTCCTTTTGCTGCCACAGCAAAGAATAATCACCACATATAAACCTTACTCATGTCCAAGGAGAGTCTAGGTGCTTTGATACCAAAATATTAGGCACAGGAGAAACAAGGAAATAAGTGAAATCCCAGTCAATAGTTAACCAAGGACTGTCAAAATGTCCCTGTTAAGAAATGTATGGCTGGTGTGGTTCCTGTTCTGGGAATTATTTACTAACTGCAACAATTGTGTCATGATCAGTCTTGCAGCAGCCCTGGTTGTAAATGGTAATTTATAATACAAGGAAGTGAGTGGTTAAAGGGCTGGCAGGCCAAGGGTGTGTGGATCATCTCAGGAGGATCAGGAGCAGGCTCTGGAACCCAAAGTCAGCACTATACTGGACTCATAATCCTGCATTAGATTCTTATTGTTGCTGCAACAGATAACCACAAATTTTGTTACTTAAGACAAATGTATCATCTCACAGTTCTGGAGGCCAGAGTCTCACCGGGCTAAAATCAAGGTATGGAAAGAGCTGTGCTCCTAGAGGTGGCACCAGTAAAGCAAGTTCTTTCCCTACTTCGGGTCACAAAGAAGGAACATGCAATTGGACAAACGCAATTGAGTTGTATTCACTGGCCAGGGAATGGAGAAGGGGAGCTCTCGCTCTAAAGGCACCTTCTTCTTAAGCAATGGGAAGCAGGGGAATTTTCAAGAGTTAGACACGGGGCAGGGAGGTATGTAAGCAGGCCGAGGGTGGAGTTCCAAACACGCAGGTGCAGTCCCCAGGCATACTTCTTCATACCTCCCGTGTACACAAAATGGCAGCAATTCTCTTTTAAGGGATAAGAATCTAGTATTATAATGATATGTTAATGATCTAAAAGTAACTAGGGGTTACTGGTCCTGGTTTGCACCAGTCTTGTGCAGGTCTTATCTTCCACTGGTATTTGGCAAGGGATCATGGAGCTCCTGCAGCATCCTGGGCGATCTGGAACTCTTTAAGCAGTGGCCCCTATAGATAAAAAGGCTAAGGGGAAACAACCGTTTAAGAAAATAAGGAGCCTTCCCAGCTATTTCCTTAGGGCTGCCCTAGTAACAGAGCTTGTAAAGAAGAATCCGTTTCCTTGCCTTTTCCAGCTTCTGGAGGCTGCCCATGTTGCATGGCTTATGGCCTCTGTCCACCTTCACAGCCAGCAATTGCATCATTCTGACTTCTGCCTCCAACATCACATTTGCTTTTCTGACTCTAATGCTCTTGCCCTCCTCTGCCACTAACAAGGACCTCTGTGATGACACTGGGCCCGACTAGATGATCCAAGCTAATCTTCCTCTCTTAAAGTCAGCTCATTAGCCACCTTAATTCCATGTGCATCTTTAATTCTTCCTGGCCATATAACCCACGTAACATGTTCACAGGTTCCAGGGATTAGGGCATGGGCATTTGGCGGTGTCCGGGCAGTGGCATTATTCTGCCTCCTACTCCTTTACACAGCATGCAAGGCTCTCCACCAAGTAGATGCAAACTGTCTTTCCAGCCTTGTCTTCCACCATATACCATGTATTGGATATATATTGCTACATAACAAGTTACTCTAAAACTTAGGGGCCTAAGACAACTTTATTATCCCACAGTTTCCGTGGGTCAAGAATCCAGGGAGGGTTTACCTGGGTCCTCTGGCTTAGGAGGGTCTCTCCCAGGGCTGCAATCAAGATGTCAGCTGGAGATTAATAACAAAAAGGACTGAATAAAGCAATTATGTCAATTGAAAAAAAAAAAAAAAGATGTCAGCTGGGACCGCCTTCATCGCAAAGCTCACTGGGGAAGGATTCTTTCCTCCCTGGACATCGGCGGGAGGCTGCTTTCAGGGGCCATACGTGGGCTTCTCCATAAGGCAGCTCACACTTGGCAGCTGCCTTCATGAGAACAGGAAGGGCCAGAGAGAGAAGGCAAGCAAGAGGGAAATCGGTCGTTCACAAACACATCCCATCACCTTTGCCGCATTATATTCATTATAATAGAACGTGGCCCCAGGCCAGCCCACACTCTAGGGAAGAGGACTACACAAGGCATGAATACCAGGAGGTGAAAACAGGGGACATGTTAGAAGTTGTCCAGCATACCCCAATATGTACCCCGTGCTCTCATCTCACAAAACTCACCATGTTTCCCAAGGGGGAATAAAACTGCTTTATTACCCACGTCTTACATTTGCTCATTAATTCACTCATTCAAAAAATATTTTGTTTCTGCTGTGAGCTAGTTTGTGTTGTAAGGGCTAAGGACAGAGCAGTGAGCCAGAGACAAAGCTCTTCCCTCGTGAAGCAGACATTCTAGTAGGGAGATAAACAAACGATAAGCAACCACACACATAGTGCGACAGTGGGCGATGAGTTACAGCAGGCGAGGGGCATGATGGGTGTCAGTGGAGGGGAGGATGCAGGATCTTATGTAGGATGTCCTGAGAAGGTCTCTCTAAAAGCTCAGCTCTGAGCAGAGACATGAAGGATGTAAGGAAGCCACCACGAGGCTATTTAAAAGAAGAGGGGTCCTGGGCTGAGGGGACGCCACGTGCAAAGGTAGCTGATGTGTTCAAGGGACACAAGAAGTTCTGTGTGATGGGAGCAGTGTGAGCAAAGGAGAAAACGCCTGGAGCTGAGCTCAGAAAGGAAACCAGAAGCCAGATCTTCTACCGCCTTGTAGGTCATGACAAGGGCTTTGACTTCTATGCTAAGATGGGCGCCACTGCAGAATTTCCCCCTTAAAATGAGCTACTTTACATCCAGGGGAAAAAAAAAAAAAAAGCTCCTTTCTTTATAATTTCAAGATACCATTTTCAGTTCCCTCTTATAAAGAAGTATAATTTGCATTATAATATAGCTACACATCTGAAATATGTATACTTAATGGATCTCACATTTTCTAATTACTTACTTTAAAAGATAAATAATCTGAAAGCCGGGGTGTTGAGACGGCT